ACAATCAAAAAATTGAACCAACAAATGTCCAAAACAAATAAACCCACACAGGTGTAAACAATTGTCCAAATCGTCTTTTTTCTTTCTTTTCTTTTTTTCCAACAAGTCTTTTTCTCAATACACGCAAATCCTGATGGCAATATACCTCAAAAAACAAAAACTTAACATAGTGTCATACCTCAAATAATAAATACACACGTGCCACTCAATGTGCAACATGCAAAAAAAAAAAAAAAAAAAAAAAAAAAAAAATATATATATATATATATATATATATATATATATATATATATATATCTCCGTGTACTAATCTCTACACACAAACAAATTCCTTTGTGTACCAAAATATATAAGTAAAAACCCTCACAACGTGTCTATTGCACAAACTGTGAAAAAAAAACATATATAATAATGCAGGAGTGTATCACCACACTCTATATTCCTCAGTGAACACCTTTAAACCCAAACCAACACTCTCCAACTCGTGTACTGATGGATAATTACCCTATAAGAAAAATGACAGGGCATAACACAAATCCGGGTTGACTTCTTGTTATTAGGGTCACATCCAGTCTCAGGGTTTATCTTCCATTTTCCTCATAACAAAATCAGCCATTACAACAGTGAATCCAAAGATAACATCCCTTTATTGTAGCAACTTACATATAAATTTGGATGAAGCAGCTCCTCCTCACAGGAATACAAGTGTAGGCAAGTTAGGGAACACTGGCCACATGTTCCCACTTCCAAGATGGCCGCGATCGCACTTCCGGTTAACGTCGTCGATGCGTCTGACGTCACGTGTCCTGACGCGTTTTGTCACACTTCCTATGACTTTTTCAGAAGGGTAAGGACGTCTGTGCATCGACTCCTTATATACCGCCCTTCCTCCACTGAAGGCACTGCAAAACCGCCATCTTGGAAGCTGGAAAACGCCGCCCATACCTGTCCACATTGCACCTTACTTCATCTCATAGCCGTTTATCGATCTCATCCAAATCCTGTACCTCTGTCTGTATTATCATCCACAATACAAAGCATACTATACAATGTCCCATATATAAAATAAAAAAAAAAAAAAATTTAAAATATCAGCATACAAATAACTCCATCTTAACATACTATACCGATATACATATATATATACTCCTTACTCATATATTCTCTCCCTACCTTCCAGTCTAGAACATTCCTATAAATATCATTAAAATTCAGTGTATATATCTCCCTATGTGTATATACATATCCATATATAACATCCCCCTAACGGATACACAATACTCCCTCTACTGGTCAATAAATAGAACAACCCCTATACTGATTAAAATACCTTACATCTCTCATATTTTCTATCAAATCCCAATGTGATTATACTACCAATATTTGAATACATCATCAAAATGTATATACCTCTACCATCTTTACCCATACATCCAGACACATATCTTAACACTTAATAATTTTTTAAATCTATAATAATACTCTAAAATAAATATAAAATCATTCATTATATTACCATCATAATTAAAAAATTATAAAATTATAATCTTATATTATATTACCTTCATATATCCACATGTTATTCGTGAATCCATACAAACAAACTCTCTCTCAGTACTTAAAGAATTTTTTATATTAATTTCCTATAAGATAAATATAATACCAAATGAATCTAAAATATTAAATCTAAAATATTATTATTAAAATATATATTAAAATTAAAAAAAATCCGAAATGAAACAGTTCAAATCCAATTCGATATTTAAACCATTAGGCTTCAAAGTGTTTAATTTAAAAATCCAATAGGTCTCATTTTGTGAAATGCCTTTTACCCTATTACTTCCCCTCCAATGGGAGTCCACCGTATCTATATACCACAAAACTTTATTCCCCTAGGGTCAGAGTTATGAAATTCCTTAAAATGTCGTGATACATTATGGTCCTTTTTTCCTTTTATTATATTAACCACATGTTCTTTTAATCTGGTACCTAAATTCCTTTTAGTTCTTCCTACATATTGTAATGGACAAGGACATTCTAACACATACGTTACATACTTTGTGTTACATGTAATACATTTTTTTATATTGAATTCTTCTCCTGTGTGAACCGATTTGCAACTCAAGATTTTTCTCTGCTTAATACCTGTCACTCTACACATTTTGCATTTTTTTACAAGGATAAAACCCCTGTAGATCAAACATCCTTGTATTTTTTTTAGGGGGTGAAATAACCCCCTTAACTAGTAGGGTTCTAAGATTAGCACTTTTTCTATAAACAAACTGGGGTTGCGTCGGTAACACATTACTCAGTGTTTGATCTTTTTTCAGAATAGGCCAATATCTTTTAAAAATACCCTCTACTTCTTTATACTGACAGTTGAATTTTGAAATAAAGGCAAATTCAGCTCTATTTTTATCCTCTTTCATCTTACTTTTAGCCTTTAAGATGAAAGAGGATAAAAATAGAGCTGAATTTGCCTTTATTTCAAAAATCAACTGTCAGTATAAAGAAGTAGAGGGTATTTTTAAAAGATATTGGCCTATTCTGAAAAAAGATCAAACACTGAGTAATGTGTTACCGACGCAACCCCAGTTTGTTTATAGAAAAAGTGCTAATCTTAGAACCCTACTAGTTAGGGGTTATTTCACCCCCCTAAAAAAAAATACAAGGATGTTTGATCTACAGGGGTTTTATCCTTGTAAAAAATGCAAAATGTGTATATTTTCTAACATTGTTTGATCTGAATTTAGGCCACAGAGCTCTATAAATCCCCTGAAGAAGCTGAACCTGATTCTGCGAAACACCTAGAGTTTGGGAATGATCCCACCCCCAACTGAACTCACATATGATGTTTTTTTTGATATTTGATATACAGTATGTTTGTACAATTCATGAGGCTGTGAGTGCAACATACCCTTCAGATAGGTTCAAGACAATTTAATTTATGGTATAAAGGAATGCGCTTTATAATTTTAAACGGTTTATTTTTAACATTGATGTAGCAATAAAGTGATGTAGTATTTTAATTGGTTGTTTGGGTGTCTTAAAAGTCCGCCAGAGTTCTGTTGTTTTTTTTTTTTTAGGTTTGTTTCTCTGTGCAGTAGTCTTACCACCAACAAAAGTCTTCCCCAGTAAAATCCCTCACCGAAAAAAAAAAAAAAAATCCCTCCTTCCCAAAGAACATTCTCTCCTGAAGCAAAAATCCTCACTTCTCTATCACACAGAAATCATCCACAACCCCCATAGCTGCAGTCCACCACTCTTCTCTGCATCCCTTGTCCACTGCTCACCTGTGAACCCCTGTCTTACCTTTGCACTCCCTCATCATCACCTATAAACCCCTTGTTCACCACAGCACACCCTGACTAACCTATTGTACCCCTTCATTCTACTACTAAGCTCTGTACCCCTTCATTCACCTCTTATCCCTGAACCCCCTTGTCCACTTCTGCTCACCCTTCCACAACTGCAGCCCCAACCACTTCCACATCTGCACTATCTTCCACCATTGCAATCATTTCCACTTCTGAACCCCGTTCTACTATTGCAACCACCTCTGCACCCACTCTTAGCATTGCAACAATTTCCACCTCTACACCCTCTTTCATCATTGCATTACCTAGTTCTAACCCCTTCTAGCATCTGCATTCCCTGCTCCATCCTCCTTGTACTACTGCAATCCCTTTCCACAACTGTAGCCCTTTTCCTTCCATCTCTTCACCCCCCCTCCATCAGTCAACCTTTGCAACCCTTTCCACCCCGCAACCCTGCCACCATTGCACACTCTTTCACCAATGTAACCCGTTCAACTATTGCAATCACTTCCAACTTTGCACCCTTTTCCACCTTTTCTGCCCCTTTTAACATTTCATTCTGTTCCACCCCTGCACCCTTTTCCACCATTGCAACAACGTCCACTTCTGTACCCCTTTCTGCCACTGCAACCACTTCCACCTCTGCATTCTCTTCCATCATTGCACGCTCATCTACTATTGCAGCTACTTCAACATCTGCATTGCAACCCTTCACATTTCTGCACTCCCTCCCACCTCTGCACCCCCCCTTTATCTGTGCAACCCCTGCCACCAATGTGCACAGCTCACCTGAGGAGTCAGTTCAGGAATCCCTTTTCTGCTGGCAAGTACATAGCGCTGTTGACAGCACTTAGGGTGGTGCCAAATGATGTTGTGAGCATTTTCCGCTGCCCACAGGTGCAGGATGAGAGAGAACAAGCACCTCATGCAGAATTCTGTTGCAGCAATGAAGAGAAGGGATCAGAAGAGGAGGAAACAAGAGCTGTCAGTCACACCCTGCATGGAGTACTTATATTGGGAGGAGGAGAAAGAAGCAGGAGAGGAGCGGACAAGCACTGGAAGGAACCCAAGTCACATGGGTCATCCTTTTCAGAATTCTGAAAATTAAATGCACTCAGAGGCTTGTCTCAGAGGCTAGGTGAGAACATTTCTCCCTAGACCAGCCTTTATCAACCTTTTTTAACCTCGAAGGAACCTGTGAAATAACTTTCAGGTCTTTGGAAACCTCTACCTGAAAACCTATGGCACATGGTACTTTAACATGATCCATAAGTTGTAAAAAGTTTTAATTAAAGATTAACAAATGTGGCCTACTTAGCATATTTGACACCTGGGACAGATACTCCTATTATTTTTTACCACCTTCCTGCTCTATACAACAAAAATCATTTTCAGTAATAATCTTGAAATGAAAAAAAAAAAAATGGTATTCCTATATATTAGTGATCACAGCATAGAAAAAGGCTCCCTACATTGGTGGTTACATTGCCGCTTGCATTGGTGGTCAGTGTAGGATGGAGATCAATTCCCCATTGTTACCCGCTCAAGGAACCTCTAGTAATCTTAGGAAGAACTCTACTGTAGTTGAGAAAGTGTGCTCTAGATTGTGCTAACTGAAATGCAGCCGCATAGTCTGGTGTCCAGTGGGAACACACTTTGTAGCGAATTGTCCCCATTGTGAAGGCACACACACAGAGGCGGACTGACAACTCCTGGGGCCCCCCGGGCAATAGGGGATCATGGGGCCCCTGTGTCCTTGCCCAAACCCAAAAAAGCCTATGAAAAAGGTACCAGGGGCATCTCATGGGGCCCCCTACTGACCCGGGCCCTCGGGCAGTGCCCGAGTTTCCAAATGGTCAGTCCGCCCCTGCACACACAGTAAACATTTGACCTTCCTTGGACATGGCATTGTTAAAACAATGGTAGACATGTACTTTGATTTTCAAAATGTTTTATGAAAATATGATTTGGGCCTACTTACTCTTGCCTGTAGCATGACAGTTAACAACACTACCTCTGGACTGCAACAAGAAATGTGTCCCAGTTCTCAAGAAAGAGCCACAAACTTGAAATTTCCCTGTATTCTTTATCATAAGCCTGTTCCTACTTTTTGTTTAGTGTGCATTACTTAACAAAATACTTACCTCCTCACAATGTATTATTAACATGCCATAATTGAAATTTGGATTATATTTGCAAAATCAAAGGACTGAATGCAGTAATTGCTCATCACCTAATCAAACAGCAGATGCTGGGCTAGATATCTCAAGTAGGATGGCTCAATCAACGGGATAATGCTATAAAAATAATGATTATAATGTGGATCCAACAGAAAACAATTAATTATATGGCTTTATTTACTTCTGGATTTGTCTAAAGAGGATCTGCCAAAGTGATGAAAAAGCATATCCAGGCCACAAGCTGAATTATTAGTTAATTATACATGTCCTAAGGAAGATGTAGCAAATCCATCAAATTGTATTTATTGGCTGCACCCTGTAGCCACCAGACTCCATGCCATCCCTTCTCTCTAATTTCGATCATGCACATAACAGGAAATAAATTATTGATCATGTATTTGATTACTTCAAATGATCATTTGCTCAAAAACAAAAAAATCAGAGTTTGGCTATTTCTGCCAGGACCGATTGATTTGGTCAAATTCATCGAAAAGTATTTTTACCGATTAAATATCTTAATTTGTACATTCAATATGCTAGAAACATCAAAATGATCGTTATATGTTATATTGTTGCATGTTGCATGACTAGCACATGAGTAGCAAGGAGCAGCAAACAGTTGGGAGGAGGAACTGACAATATGTGGCCTCCACATTTACAGCCTAGGCAGTAAAGTGACCTGCTGCAAAACAGGTACACACGGATGAGGAAAAGATGCCACTGACAGATAGGTGCTACACAGAATATACAGCTTAAAGAAGATCTATTACTATACATATTTAGTTTAGCTGCTTAGTCTAAGTGCAATATAGTATTTGGTCCTGTTCAAATCCGTCTCTTCATTTCTAAGCAGCATGGTTGGACATTCCCCCATCCCATCAGATAATGTTGTTAGAAAGGATTTGTGATTGACAGCTCTGGTATCTGGCAGCAGGAGCTGCTCTGGAGACCAAAAAAACAGCAGCACACAGCCTGTGATGATGTGTAATGTATCTGGTGATGCTTATGCAAACACAGCAGCATACTTTACACAGATACACAACTCTAAATGGTCCTTCACTATTATGAATGAACAAGCAGAGCTGATTGAGCTTTGTCCTCAGTTCTATTAAGTCTGAATTCTTCTCACTAATGTTTGGGAAAGAGATCAGCCTTCTACCTCTTGCCTAACACTTGTATGGAGTGTCCCCATGTTCTTTACCTTGTTTGGAAAGGGGGACTCCATGGGATCATACCAAGGGGGACTTCATGGGATCATACCAAGGGGTACTCCATGGGATCTCACCAAGGGGGACTCCATGGGATCTCACCAAGGGGGACTCCATGGGATCTCAGGAATTACCAATACACTTCCTGAAGTAAATTCTGCACTAAGTTCACTTTGCAGGGGTCTTCCTTGGTCATCTCCTCAGTGGGCTTAATGTCTGCCCTGACAGCCATTCCATGCAGGGAATCCTGTACCTATTTTGGGTTCATGTGCAATGAGACCCTAGGACCTACTTCTATTTTAGTGTGGCTCTGACTGATCTTCCCTTAACCAGGACATTGCTTTCCCTCTGTCCAGCCCCAAGTCTCTAAAGCAGGCCACAGACAATGCAAAAACTGAACGAAAAAAATTTGAATTGTTTGTTTTTCACAGCATTAGCGTGCCAGAAAATGCCTGATTCAACATGATGGATTTTTTTTAGAAAAACTAAACAAGTGATGGCATAATCATATGAGCTATTTATGTTTTTCACTCCACAAAGCTTTCGGGTTTTGATTGTGTATGGTCTGCTTGAGTGGAGCTCCTTCTTCTTGCTGGCCAAGGTTTAGGCTGTAAGTCTCTTCCTTTCTGTATTGATTCTTAGATGCCCTTCCTGATGTTCCCTGTAGGGAATTCATTTTATTTTCATCCTTGCAGATGGATCTGTTAGGCCAACTTCAAGCTTATACTGTTTTGAAGCAATGTCCTTTTTTTCCATGTGAGGACATTTCTCACTATGTATTCTGCTCTTTTGACATCCAGCTTCGGTTCCCTATATTTGATTTACCACCTAGTCTTTGTTAACATTCTGTTACCAAATGGGTGTTGTGGCGTCATCTGGTGCCAACTTCAATTGTATGGGGTCCTTCAGATAAATGGTTTTCTCGAGCAATAGACAGTCTCCAGTATTATATTATTCATGTTGGACCTGTTAGCAGTTGTTTGCTGTTGCCCACCAGTTGGACTGCTCTTGGGCATCCCAAAGGTGACCTTCCATGGACAAGAAAGAAAATAAGATTTTTGTGCTTACATTAAAAGCTATTCTTGAAGATCCCTGGGGAACACAGGTCTCACTCCTACATGTTTATGATCATGCTCCTGTTACTGCTTGCGACAAAACTGAAGCATGCCAGTAGTAGGAATTGTTATCTTGGATTGACACAATTTTTTGGTTTGCAGGGTCTAATCCTCCTGTAGGCAGCAATATAAACTGAAGGTGAAATCTTCCCATGTCCCTCAATGGACTCCAAAAAATAGATTTTATAATGAGTACAAACATCTTATTATTTAAAAATCACACAGCAGAGAATGAGAAGAAATCAACATTATAAACCCAACCAACATCTGATCTGCAGTAACTGGGAAGATACACAGAAGCCAATAAAACACGTCATGTGGTCATTCAACAGGTGCTTAAAATGGGCCTTATGTTCTGCCTATCAAGAATTCAAAGTGCATTTAACCACTTGACCCCAGAGGTTTTTACCCTCTTCATGACCAGACCATTGTTTTGCTATTCATCACTGTGCTACTTTAACTGGACATTGCTCTGCCATTCAACACTGTACCCAAATTAAATGTATATACTTTTTCCACACATATAGAGCTTTCTTTTGCTAGTTTTTGATAACCACTGGGTTTTTTATATTTTATTATATAACTGAAAAAGATCAAAAATTTTGAAAAAAAACCCTAACTATTTTCTACTTTCTGTTATAAAACATATCCAATAAAAAAAAAAAAAATTAACATCTTTTGTGGATGGAGTAAGCCATTCATTTTTTTTTTCAATCAGTCTGCTGGCTGATTGAAAAAAAATGGGTCATCTATGGCCACCTTAAGAATGAGCAATGCAGTGAAAAGGGCCTCAGAATGTTCAGTTAATTCTACTGTAGAAAAGATTTCTCTGTACTTAGGTGCTCTTATAGTCTGTGCCCAGGAGAGATTTGATGGCGCCAATGTAATAACTTGTAAAATATCGTATTGTCTCGATATTTTATTAACTTGTATTGATGAGAAATGTTCAGATAGAAAGTCCTTCCACTTCTTGCATAAACTCAAAAAGAAGATTTAATAATAATGTTGCATAAAATTAGAAATAAAATATTGGCATACAGAATGTTTAAATAATGTCCAAAAAATATAGTTAAGTTCTTGATAATAAGATTGTATATATGTATATGTGTGTGTATGTGTGTGTGTGTGTGTGTCGCATCAAGGCTTCTATATAGAGTGTGACCTTAAAAAGTCTTTGTTCTGCTCTTAAAAGAGCAATCCAGCCCCCACCATCTCCTAAAAATGGGCTGATCTTCTCCTTGTAGTCCCACCAAGATAATTGGAAACAGATGTGTATATATAACAAACCTCCAGTCTACTTCTCCTAAAGTCTGAGTGTAACCTAAGAAGGCCTAGACATTCCATCAATCAGAGTAAATTAGATGTATTACACACACATATATATATATATATATATTCTCCTAAAAATAATCTTAACAAGAGTTATCTCATATATAAATATCGCAATCAAGAAATATTACAGTACAAACCTAGCATGTATGAAATATATTTTTTTTTACAATTCTCTAGTTAGTGAAACATAATCCCCTACATAGATGGGGGAGGATGGATAGACCAATTGCTACCACATGTGTGGCTTGAATGTAAAGAAAACCCAAGATATATGTTCATATGTATATTCACAGACTATGAAGTCTAATTACTTACTTTTCCCAATCTAGAACAAATATAAATATAATAACTCAATTATTCTATTAAGATCCAACTCATTCATACATGTTAGTACTGTTAATAAGAAGATATTAGATATTAGGTTAAGGAAAGGAAAGCTTAACATTTCCCTCTCAAAATGATCGATTTTATCGAATCTTAATCATTTTCCTTATCTTAATCCATTTATACACATTCTCGTCACTTTCGTATCCATTCATGTGTTTTTGGATCTTAAGATAATTGATCTGAACATATCTTCAATTTGATTCTATAATGGGAAAACAAATTCTTTGATAAACCTTTTGTTATGTATCACATAAAAATATTTTTACCCTTATTATTTTCCTTTCACTAAATAATTCATCCCCTTAATAAATGTATAACTGTAACATTATAGTACAATACTTTAAAATATGTCACTTAAAAAAAATAGATGTTTCATATTTTCCCTCCAAAATGTGTGTAGCACACAGTTCTATAATCCATACATTTTTCAAATTACCTTATTAACATTTAACCATAACATATGTTCCCTAGCTTCAATCCATACATGTATATCAAATGATTTTTTTTTTTTTTTTAAAAAACATACAAATAACAATGTAAAGCTTGCCTAAGTTTTCTATATGTACCTTAGAAAAACTTACCGTATTTGCCGGCGTATAAGACGACTGGGCGTATAAGACGACCCCCCTACTTTTCCTGCTAAAATGT